CTGAATACCAGACCTGGCTCCCCACCGGGTTACAAAGCACGCACCCAACATGAAGTGAAGTTACGACATTAGTTAAATTGTTGTGATGCAAAATGAAAATACTGGATTTACACAATATGGGAAATCAAACCCTCCTATAAAATACTTGTATATTTTAAGTGTACTTCAAAATAATCCTTTACCATGAAAACAAAACAAAAGTACATTACCATCATTGAGGCAAATATGAATTACTGAATATGCTTTCACAGTTATGTTTCTGGAGCCTTGTTCAGTGCCTGGCACATAATGGAAGATACATAAATACCTTTGTTATTGTTACATGCAAAGGCATAATTGTGTATATATAAATACATGTGTGTATTTGTATCACAGTTATTTAAGTAAGTTGATTAAATACATCATTATTGTTACTTGCGAAGACCATTTTATACAATACGTATATGTGTCACATTTAAATTATATCAGAATTTAGGTTAGCTAATTTATTTTTTCAATAGTGAGGTTTTTTTTAATAGAAGTGTAGTTGATTTACAATGTTGCATTAGTTTCAGGAGTACAGCAAAGCAATTCAGTTACACATGTGCACACATATTCATTCTTTTTCAGACTTTTTCCCATTACAGGTTATTACAAAATTACTGAGTATAGTTCCCTGTGCTCTACAGTTAAGTCCTTGTTGTTTATGTCTTTTATGTATAGTAGCGAGTCTATTAATCTCATACTCCTAATTTTTCCCTTCCCCCTTTCCCATTTGATAACCATAAGTGTGTTTTCTATGTCTGTGTGTCTGTTTTGTATAATTTTTTTTAGATTCCACATATAAGTGATATCCTGTGATATTTGGTTTGCTTCACTCAGTATGGTAATCTCTAGGTTAGCTAATTTAAATATATGTCCTTGTTACACGCAGAAGTGTAGTTGCAGTTATAAGTATCTATACGCAATTATACCTTTGCGTGTAACAAGAATATGTTTATATATACATATATATGTATGCATTTCTGTATATACACATGTGTATCACCATTTTTTTATTGGAGTATAATTGCTTTACAATGTTGTGTTAGCTTCTGCTGTACAATGAAGTGATTCAGCTCCATGTATACATACATCCCCTCCCTCTTGGACCTCCCAGCCCACCCCCATGCCACCCATCTAGGTCACCACAGAGCACTGAGCTCAGCTCCCTGTGTTATACAGCACGTTCCCACTAGCTACCTATGTTACACATGGTAGTGTATTTATGTCAAACCTATTCTCCCAATTCGTCCCACCCTCCCCTGCCCCCCATCCCCCTGCCATGCCCACACGTCCGTTCTCTATGTCTGTGTCTCTATTCCTGCCCTGGAGATAGGTTAATCTGTACTATTTTTCTAGATTCCACATATATGTATTAATATATGATATTAGTTTTTCTCTATCTGACTTACTTCACTCTGTATGATACGACAGTCTCTAGGTCCATCCACATCTCTACAAATGACCCAATTTCGTTCCTTTTCATGGCTAAGATTCCATTGTATATATGCGCCACATCTTCTTTATCCATTCCTCTGTCGATGGACATTTAGGTTGCTTCCATGACCTGGCTATTGTAAATAGTGCTGCTGTAAACAATGGGGTGCGTGTGTCTTGTTGAATTATGGTTTTCTCAGGGCATATGCCCAGTAGTGGGATTGCTGGGTCAGATGGTAGTTCTATTTTTAAAGTTTTTTAAGGAACCTCCATACTGTTCTCCATAGTGGCTGCACCAGTCTACATTCCCACCAACAGTATAAGAGGATTCTCTTTTCTTCACACCCTCTCCAGCATTTATTGTTTCTAGATTTTTACATAATGGCCATTCTGACCAATGTGATGTGATACCTCATTGTAGTTTTGATTTGCATTTCTCTAATAGTTAGCGATGTTGAGCATCTTTTCATGTGCCTCTCGGCCAGCTGTATGTCTTCTCTGGAGAAATGTCTATTTAGGTCTTCTGCCCAATTTTTGCTTGGATTGTTCGTTTTGATATTGAGCTGCCTGAGTGGTTTGTATATTCTGGACGTTAATCTTTTGTCCCTTGCTTTGTTTGCAAATATTTTCTCCCGTTCCGAGGGTTGTCTTTTCGTCTTGTTTATGGTTTCCTTTACTGTGCAAAAGCTTTTAAGTTTCATTAGGTCCCATTTGGGTTTTTTTGTTTTTATTTTCATTAGTAGGTGGGTCAAAAAAGATCTTGCTGTGATCTGTGTCAAAGAGTGCTCTTCCTATGTTTTCCTCTGAGTTTTATAGTGTCCGGTCTTACATTTAGGTCTTACATCCATTTTGAGTTTATTTTTGTGCATGAAGTGAGGGTGTGTTCTGAGTTCATTCGTTTACGTGTAGCTGTCCAGTTTTCCCAGCACCACTTATCGAAGAGACTGTCTTTTCTCCGTTGTATATTCTCGTCTCCTTTGTCATAGATTAGGTGACCATAGGTGCATGGGTTTACCTCTGGGTTTTCTATCCTGTACCACTGATGTATAATTCAGTTTTTGTGCTGTGTATCACCTTTTTATAACCATATTACAGTTGCAAATTTTTGAGGCTATGATTATATCATAAATCAAGGTACATATGTTACATATAAATATGTAAGTATATATAATGCACATATAGTCTTTTATTTCCTTTCTGTCTACCCAGATTCTTTAGTTAATGTGAACATAAGCCATTCAGAACAGGAAAAGTTAAACCGTACTGAAAAAGTACCACCTGCAATACAGCCAAGTCTCTGTAAACTTTTACATCCACAAATCTACACCGTGATTAGGATCATGCTTTGTTCCTACCTACAGGCAGAAGCACACTTACCTCCTTGCCTTATTCTCTGATCCTTCCCCTGGATCTGTTGTGTCTTAACGGGATGATTTTGGATTGTTTGGGAGTCGCCCTCCAGGTAGAGTAACTTGATCTTAAACACCTGCTATCTTGCAGACGTTACCGTGGGGTCACTGGGGTCTAGGGATTCATGAGCCGTGGCACAAATACCCTTCTGATAAGGCGCTGTGCTGTGCAGATGCGGAAGAGGGCAGCTGGCTGAGTTTTGTGCTGTTGGTCTAGGATTTGGCTAGAAGGCAGCGGCCCCAAGAGGGACACAGCTTGCCAGGGTGAAGGAAAGTCAGGCTCACAGCCAGCTGCGGTCCCCTGTCCACAAGCAAGTGCATGGACAGACCCAAGCAGGGGAAAAGGCAACAGCACCCCTGGGACAGGGGCGTCTGAGGGCTGGAGGCACAGCTGGGGTGAAAGGTTGCTGAAGATGCAGGAAAAGATGGGCATTAGCCACTGCACATGCTGTCTCAGGTCCAACCTTAGCCAAAATATTCCCATCTTATCCCCACATGTATTTAGAGCCTTTTCAGGAAAATATTCCCTCTGCTTTCAGCTCCTAATAAAAGTGCTGACATATAAAAACATTTTTATGAAATTAATAAAGGAATAACCGGGCTTCCCTGGTGGCGCAGTGGTTGAGAGTCCGCCTCCCGATGCAGGGGACACGGGTTCGTGCCCCGGTCCGGGAAGATCCCACATGCCGCGGAGCGGCTGGGCCCATGAGCCATGGCCGCTGAGCCTGCACGTCCAGAGCCTGTGCTCCGCAACGAGAGAGGCCCCAGCTGTGAGAGGCCCGTGTACAGAAAAAAGAACAATATGACTAATAAAGGAATAACCAAGTCTCCTCAGAATTAGATCGATGTAGGCTTGAATTAAGCTGTATGCCGTCTTTTTTTTAAGGGCAACTAGCCCCAATACACATTTATACGTATGAAATCCCCAACATTCGACCATTTTTTCTCTATAAAACGACACTTTCATCCTTGAACAAAATAGGTTCGTTTATGACAAAGGAAAATGGGGACTGGCTTCGAAGTGACTTTAATGAGTTACGAAAAGTGACAATGAAAAAAAAAGTAAAGCAAAGAGGCAACTATCTGGTTTAGACCTACTGTGTAGCACAGGGAACTCTACTCGATACTCTGTAATGACCTACATGGGGAAGGAATCTAATAAACAGTGGATACATGTATATGAATAACAGATTCACTTTGCTGTACACCTGAAACTAACACAACATTAAAAATCTACTCCAATAAAAATTATTTTTTAAAAATGCAGAGGGGGTCATGGCACTATAGTATTTCACTGGCTAAACATCCCACACTTTATTTCTTCATTCTACTCTTTATGGACTTGTGTTGTTTTGATTTTTTAAAATTTTACTCTTACACACAGTATTTCTGTGAACATTCGTATGTCATGCGTCCAAACGTGCAAATGCAAGAAATTTTCTAATGTGCGTGTGTAGCGTGCAGGTAATGACGGAGTATGAGGTTGGAAGTCAAATTTCATTTTCCTCTAACGGATAGAAAATTGTGTCAACCAGCCTTTCCCCACTCCCGTGAGTGCCACATCTGTGATATACCAAATGTCATTTATGAATGAAAAAAAAATGCAGAGGGGGAAAAAATCCTCCAATTTAAGGACATGCCGACGTTCCTCTGTAGTTCTACCATAAGACAACTTCTTAAGGGCTTGTGAAAGTGCAGCTAAGGTGAACCAAATGGGTTGTATGGTTATATTCTACGTAATAACGGTTGCAGTGTCTGCAAAGGTTTCCGTTGCTATAAAGGTCTATCTAATTCTCCTTACAGAAAATTCTTATAAGGAGTCAGGTATCGAGGTGTGTGTGCATGTTTCTGTGTATTAGACATACATATTAAATATAATCATTAGATATAGATATGTATAAGTCATTCGTTCACCAGTTTAACAGCTGCTATTAACAGAGGCATTTGGCATTCAAAGACTTCTGTAAGAAAGGTATATATACAACCCAACTCATTTATAATTATCCCTTTTCAGACATGTAATTTAAAGCACCAATTTTTAATAGCATTTAAAAATCAGTTTTAATATCACTGAATATTCAGAAAACGTGATACTGTATCATGTAACTATTTCTTGAGGGACACACCTTGCAAACCAGCTTGTCGGTATTAGCCTCAAAACCTTGACTCCTTGAGGGAAGGCTGTGTTTTTCCACTTTGTCTCACTACGTGCCCCAAGACATAAAGGAGTTCTGGGCTTCTGGTAGACAAAGAAAAAGTCATTTTTGAATGAAGGGAAGAAGAAAAGAATTGTGGGATCAGACGAGATACCAACTCCCAAGGAAATGTCTCTGCCCGCATCATTTTCCCCGCGCCCTGCTCACCATGAAACACACTCCAGGAGATTGGAAACACCAAAAAAACATCACTCTGAGGAAAAAAAAAAAAAAAAAACCTATTCTTTCTTGCTAAACTAACTTTTAAGCAAAACTCGATAGCAAGTTTAATACACTGCTTTTCACACTGTCAGTGATCGGTAAACATTTTTCCACTTCTCTTCTACAAGCTTTCACAAGTTTGCTTTTTTCACCATTTGTTGACTGACTCCATAGTTTCCCACATCCATTCAAGTCTAAACGCTGTGAAAGAGTGGATCGTGCTTGCCCGATGCTCATACCGTACCTTTATCTGCTCCCTGGTACCCGTCCACTGATTTAGCCAGGGCTGATCCGTTAGTGATGGACCATATCGTTCATGGCACTGGAGTTAAGTGCTGTGGATAGAGCAAAGGTCTGTTAGATGTTAGAGCTTATAGTTAATCGGCTCTCTGGAACAAACGGTATCGAACGCCCAAAGAAACACGGATCTTTGGTGAAAACAAAGCAAAACAACAGGAACCAATTGAGGGTTGTCCTCCTTCATGGAAAAGAGTTTCAGATTGTTTCCCACTCGTATTGTAGTTGGGAACACACTGAGGGGACATCAACAGAATGGTTTGCAATCGTCTTTCAGGAACTATCCCTTCATTTCCAAGGGCTCTTTGGTTCCTGCATACTGTAAAACTCCTAGAGGAAAACGCAGGCAGGACACTGACATAAAATGTAGCAATATCTTTTTGGATCTGTCTCCTAAGGCTCAGAAAACAAAAGCAGAAATAAACAAATGGGACCTGATTAAACTTAAAAGCTTTTGCACAGCAAAGGAAACCATCGGCAAAACGCCAAGACAACCTACTGATTGGGAGAAAATATTTGCAAGTGATACAATCGATAGGGGGTTAATATCCAGAAATATAAACAGCTCATACAATATAAAAAACAGTTCAATTAAAAAGTGGACAGAAGACCTGAATATCTTTAAAAAGTAAATGGATTATCACTTCAGAAAGAGTTAAATCATAAGTGTGTGTGTGTGCGCGCGCGTGCATGTGTCTTTATATACATATATAGATACCTGCAACAACAGACTATGTGTATGTACATATGTAAATGTATACGTGTATACATATAGTATGCTTTTGCAGGTATCTATATGTGTGTTATATATGTGTTTGTATACATATGATGTTTTACTAGGAAAAGCTACATACTCTAACGTCAGTGAAATCATGTTTAATGCATAAACCAAAATTTTGGAAGTGTTCCTATATGTGTCGCTCAGGGTAATGTAAATGAATCAGCTGCCATCACCTATAAAGACAGAAAGAGAGTGATTTCACTTTAAAAATACTGATTAAATTCGGCCCTTAAGAATGCATAGATAAATGATTCTGGAAGGTTAAAGGAAAACGAAGACCAGTTGTGGCCTGGAGCGATGCAGATCAGAAGCAAGCAGAGGGAATTACATTAATACGATGCAAAACAGGAGTTACAGAAGACACAGTAAATAAAAATGTATCCCATTTAAACACACGTACCGTTCAGAGTAAAGCTATTTATTGCCGTGAACCTTTGAGAAGGAAACTATTCATAAATGTAAGAATGACGGAAAATCCTCTCTCAAAAGTTTAGTTCACGTTTCTTTAGACTGGCTTTATAATTCGCGATGTGTTCATTTGCTGTTAAATTTCTGTGGGACTCAAAGATGCAGGTTGAGTCTCCGGTTTGGGGGCAGTCGTGTTCTACATATGCACCTTAGGAAATGTATTCATTGTGTGTTAGCTGTGCTATACAAACACTCTGTATTTTCTCTTGATGTAGTCTGCTCGATGTACCAATTGCCACGAGCAGAAAGTTAACTCACTATGGTTACCGACTGGTCGATTTCTCATTGTTATGCCAAACGTGCTTTGATGCGCTGCTAATAAATATACACAACTTTAGACTTGGTGTATCTTCCTGGAGCAGTGAACTTCTTAGCAATACGTAGTTACCCTGTATTTTCTTTTAATTGAATTTGATTTATAATATTAGTTCTGCAATACAGCAAAGTGATTCAGTTATATATATATTTTTTTCAGATTCTTTTCCATTATAGGTTATTATAGGATTCTGAGTATAGTTCCCTGTGCTACACAGTAAATCCTTGTTTATCTATTTTATGTATAGTAGTTTGTATCTGTTAATCCCAAACACCTAATTTACCCCTTCCCCTTCGGTAACCGTAAGTTTCTTTTCTATGTCTACTGACTCTCTTTACATGGAATAATCCTTTGTGACTTCTAGTTCATTTTCTCCAATATCAAGAGTTACATCCACCTACTCTTGAGTAGCAGGTATGTGACACTTCTTTTTCCATCTAGTTGCTTCTTACATCTGTGTTCTCTGAAAACAGCATACAGATGCATTTTCTGATAACCCAATCCTCCAGCCGTTATCTTGGAATAGGAAAATTGATTTGATTAGCATTTGGTAGGATCTTGATGTATCTGTGCGCTTTCTACTCTCTTTCATCTTACACGGCTCCCCTTCCACAGCCATCCTCCTTTCTTTGATTCTTTGGAACTAGCCCTCCAGCTTTTCCTGTTACATTTCCAGAAGTTATATACCCTCTGTGCATGATTTTAATGATCTCTCTAGATACTTTAATGCACATATTTAAGTCCTAAAGTAATCTCCATCATTCGTGTGTATCAACTCGAATCAAATCCCCAAGTGTTAGGCTGCTGCAACCTTTCATGTGTATCGTTATACAATCTAAGCTTTGTTTAGAGTTTTCCCCACGTTTGCTTCTTCCCCCCTCCCTCCGCATTCTCTGCATTTCTCTTTGAATATGTTCTTTCTTTAACGCATCCTTTATTGAATATGTTCTAATTATTTAATGCATCCTTTAGACTTCACTGAAGAAAGCAGTGTTATCGGCAGACCTCTCCTTTTTGTTGTCTAAAAATACCTTTACTTCCTGTTTGCCTTAAAAGGAGCTTCTCTGGACATACAATCCTAGGTTGACAGTTATTTTCATTCAGAGTTTTGAAGGTATGTATAATTGCAGTGGCTCCTCGTTTCCACGAGAAGTCAGAAGACAGTCTAGTTTTTTTCTACTAAAGGTAGAAACGTGGCTCTTCCCTCTACAGCTCCTTTAACATTTGTGTTCTGTGTTCTTTGACGACAACATACCTTGCCTTGGATTTTTTTTTTTTTTCATTTACACTCTCAGATAGGTTGTGCCTCCATCCAGGCAATGGTGTCTTGCTTCTGTTCTTGACATTTCTTAATCATTATGCGTTTGATACTACCTTCTTCCCAATCAATCTATCATGTCTTTGTAAAACTCTAATTACATGTAGGCAGTGATTTCTCACCCCCTTTGTTCTATGTCTTTTAATGCCTCTTTCCTACTTTCCCTTTTTTGGGGGGGGGGTCTTTTTTGCAACATTCTTTCTAATGTGCCCCAGTCTACCCTCTGGCTTACTAATTTTCTCTTCATTTGCTGTTTAAGTCAATCGTTTTGCAAGTCGGCTGGCAAAATTGTGGATATAACCTTGTTTCTTCATCATATTTCCCATGCATATTTTATTTCTTCTAATATTTTACACGTACTTCTTTTTCATTTGGACTTTTAGGGGCCCGATTGCTTTTGCATTTGCAGACCTCTTTCTGTGGGTTGTTATTTCTTTTGTTTCTGCTTCTCTCCTGGCGCCTCTTTTCCTTGGATGATTTTTTGGTTTTTGTTTGTTTTTGTGGGGATGTTTAGATGAGTTGGTGTTCCTGGCACTGTATTTATAGGAATTCTTTGAGGATTCCATTTGAAGTGCATCCCTCTGAAGAAAATGTCAGTGTGTTTCTACCAAGCCTTTGGAGGTACATCCAGTTTAGAACTATTTTAGGCTATGGTTTCAATTTAGGATTTTCAGGCAAACAAATGGAATGAATTCTGGTGGCAAAGACACACAGGTAAAGGATTTTCTTGGACGTACTGGGGGGAGATTCTGGTTTTTTCTCATTCATTTGTTCATTCATTCATTTATTTCTCTTCATCCACACCGAGCTCAGACTGGGAAGTATTCTCAACGATGTACTTTTCAACAAGACTTCCCTTGTATGATATCACTTATATGTGGAATCAAAAAAGTACAGCAAACTAGTGAATATAACGAAAAGAAGCAGACTCACAGATCTAGAGAACAAACCAGTGGTTACCGGGGGGAGGGGCAAGATGGGGGAGGGGAGTAAGAGGTACAAACTATTATGTTTAGAATAAGCTACAAGGACGTATTGTACAACACGAAGAATACAGCCCATATTTTACAATAACTATAAATGGAGTATAACCTTTAAAATCTGTGCGTCACCATATTGGACACCTGTAACTGATGTACTATTTGCAGAGCAACTATACTTCAATTTAAATCAAAAAGAAGATTTCCCTTATTATATACTGTTCATTTTCTGCAAATGCACACTTGTTTTGGGGATCTTAGTGTTTGGGGCTTGTTTCTGAATGCCTGCCTAACCTTCTTGGACCGGACGATGTTTTCCATCCCTTTCTCCTACTCCCTTATATGTGCTCGTGTACGAACCAGCATTTACGTTACCAGGGTCGGCGTGTGCATATACGAAAGGGGAAATTCCCAGTTCCCAATTCCATTTCTTCTTTGGACTTTTGCTCCCTTTCATTTCTCTCATCTCTGAGGAATATACTCCTCTTTCCAGCTGCTCCGTGATGATTTATTTATTCGTTTAAAAAATTTCCCTGCAGTGTGTTGACTCTGAGGCTTTATGTAAAACAGACTTTCTGCCATGTTTGGGTGGCATGTGCTCTTTATACTCTGACTGTTTTGTCTGGCTTCTACATAGCTTTCTTGGTATTAAGAAGTATCAGGAACGTAATCCTTTTTAATAGAAAGCATATTTTCTGTCAATTAACAATTTGGAGAGGGTAGGAAAGGAAATTAAACATTTTTGCTCCACAGCATGATTTCTTTCATTTTATCTGTTGCAATGCACTATTCTTGCATCTCACATTAAGAAATAAAGTATGGGGACCTCCCTGGTGGGGCAGTAGTTAAGAATCTGCCTGCCAGTGCAGGGGACACGGGTTAGATCCCTGGTCCGGGAAGATTCCACATGCCATGGAGCAGCTAAACCCCTGCGCCACAACTACTGAAGCCCGCGCACGCTCCTAGAGCCCGTGCTCTGCAACAAGGGAAGCTACTGCAGTGAGAAGCCCGTGTACTGCAAGGAAGAGCAGCCTCTGCTCACCACAACTAGAGAAAGCCCATGTGCAGCAACGAAGACCCAATGCAGCCAAAAATCAACAAGTAAATAATTTTTTGTTGTTGTTTTGCGGTACACGGGCCTCTCACTGTTGTGGCCTCTCCCGTTGCGGAGCACA